TAAAATAATCCCATCATTGGGCATATTGAATAAAGTTTTGGGTTATCCTGTTAATTTTTAATTGTGCTAATTTTCACTTTTTACTGTGTCTTTTAAAAAATTATCCAGTAATAGCCAAATTAAGTTGCTTTTAACTTATTTTTATGATCCTTTATTCCTCCCCTTCCCCCATATGTCAGTGACCCCTGGGGAAGGAAATGTTCTCTAGTTTTTGGAATAGAGACTCTCGAAAGACACTAACCTAGGGCTTTCTACATGGTCTGCAGAACTTTGTGTTGGATTATGAAGATCCAGTGTCTGTGCTTTTGTTACTGTTGTGAATTTACATAAAATATGTATCCAGCAGGGAGCTGTCGTTCTTCTTATACATTTCGAAAAGTAGTTTCATGCTCCTTCCTTTCTTTCCTCTTCCCTCCATGAAAAGCATGTAGAAGAAGAGGTATGTTGACTGCAATTCTGATAAAAAATGTAGGAAGTCTACCCAAGATTGCTAATGTTAAAGTGAGTTTAAAACTGTACAAAGGGAGCATGGCAAAGTTAGTTAGCCCCAACTTTATTTTCATCCTACACAGCAGAACACAGTACAATTCTGTCCCCTCAAAAATGGGAATAAAATAGTTACAAAGAGGCCTCCCAGGTTGGAAGCAACCACAGCTTTCACTGCTATTTCTGGATTCCATCCACAAGTACAGAAAACAAAAAAACCTAACAATTTTGAAAAGCTAATATTTATTGGGCTCTTTCTATTTACCAGGCACTTCATACACAATGTCTCAAGTTGGAGAACCCTTCCAAATGTAAGTCAGATCCTACTTATTGTTTATTTTGACACAAAAAATGGAAATGGCTGAGGGCATGGCCTGACATGTGAGCACGGAAGTGTACTTGGACTGAATATGAGTATAAGATGAAGCACTTGGTCCTCACATACAGTTAACTCTGCCAGCCAGCCAGTACCCAGGGGCCATCAGCCTATAATGCATTCACAACGTGAATATCCAAAAACTATTTCATTCTGTAAACCTAACTTTGTCTTACACTTACTGTGTTCATGACTTTTCTGATGTCACTTCCAGTTTTCAAAGATGGTCAGCTACAAGGAATCAACTTGGCTTTTTTTTACTTACCCCAACACATTTTGTTCCTACTGAGCTGTGGACTGAATTTTCTTTCTTAATAATATTTTATGTTTGTTAAAACTGCTATCAACATTATTAACTTGAAAGTTTTAAACTGCTTTAAAAAGCTACTTTGCATATTTTGAACCACAAATAACTCTAGTCTGGAGGTGGCTTAGACCACAAAATACTATTTGTGGGTTTAAGCTCTGTATCTTTTAAATCCATCATATGTACAGTGTAAACTTGAGTACCTAATAAAATAAATGTCGCAATGTTTAAATAGCATTTCTCTTTAGGAGTTAAAATGCTTTGTCATCTGTGCAGGAATAAATTGTGTGCTGAATTCTTTTTAGCCCTGAGAATATGATTATTGAACAAAATTTCCAATGAGACAAGTCAGGCCTTTAAATGATAAATATCCTCAAATATAAACAGTAAGTCAAGTACTACAGCAAAAGCTTTGATTATTGTAAATGTGTTTCCTGTGGCAAGTTCACTACTGATAAGAGCTTTTTATCCAAAACTGTACTATGTGCCAAATACAACTTAATATTTATTACATGAATATGTTTTTGAAAACAAAAAGAATAGGCCAGGCACTGTGGCTCATTCCTGTGATCCCAGTACTTTGGGAGGTCAAGATAGACAGATCACCTGAGGTCAGGAGTTAGAAAACAGCCTGGACAACATGGTGAAACCTCATCTCTACTAAAAATACAAAAAATTAGCCAAAGGTGGTGGCAGGCACCTGTAATCCCACCTACTCGGGAGGCTGAGGCACGAGATCACTTGAACCCAGGCAGCAGAGGTTGGCAGTGGGCCGAGATCCCGCTACTGCACTCCAGCCTGGGTGACAGAGCTAGAATTCATCTCAATTAAAAAGAAAAAAAAGGCCAGGCGCGGTGGCTCAAGCCTGTAATCCCAGCACTTTGGGAGGCCGAGGCAGGTGGATCACGAGGTCAAGAGATCGAGACCATCCTGGTCAACATAGTGAAACCCAGTCTCTACTAAAAATACAAAAAATTAGCTGGGCATGGTGGCACGTGCCTGTAATCCCAGCTACTCAGGAGGCTGAGGCAGGAGAATTGCCTGAACCCAGGAGGCGGAGGTTGCGGTGAGCCGAGATCGCGCCATTGCACTCCAGCCTGGGTAACAAGAGTGAAACTCCATCTCAAAAAAAAAAAAAAAAAAAAAAGTATAAAGTTCTAATGGCACTAACTTAACACTCTTGTAATGAATTTGATGCTCAAAAACATGATACTTAAAGAGACTGTTTTATAATGTATATTCATCAAATTCCTTTTATAAACTCAGTATCTAATAATTGGTGACTGAGAATTGATAACTGCCTTATGCATTTAAAAACAACTTTTGTAGTTTATTATTTGCTTGCTTAGTGAAATTATTGCTTCTTTATTTCTGAAATTTTCATAGGATTCTCATGAAGAATCTAAGAATCCAACTCCCATTTGTTTTGGTAAGTGATTGGCAAAAGTGATTTCATTCTTCCTTTGTAAAGATGAAGTTCATGTTTCTATACCTATTATTTTAGATAGCCACTGAATTTACAGGAAACAAAGTATAAAAATTTTTCTGTCATTTTGTTCTGCCTCCAATAATAGTGTTTTTAATGCCATTAAATAAGGAGTTCCGAATCATCTTAAAGATATTTTCTTAGGAACTACTGATATCAAATATCAAGCATTTTATGAGCTCTATCAAACACATAAAAAATATTCAAATAATTTTATTAGCCCTGGTTTGCAATGATGTAGAGCAATTAGCAATCTTAAACGCTGCTCTTAGGGTGAAAAACTAGAACATTTATTATGTTTTAAACCCTTTATAAAATGTTCAAAACTATTACAGGTGACATATGATACTCCTTTTTCCTTTTGTTCAGGAATTCAGGCCTCTGTACTGCCCCCTTCTGTCTTACCCCCAGGCACACATGAGTCAGCCCAAGTCCCAAAGTGAGTTCAGATTAGATCAATTCTCTTAGCCCCTTCCCCTTTACCAGTGATTAAATCAGGAATGGGTCTATGATCCAATTATGACCGGAAGTTCCATTCCAAGAGATGTTTGCTGGAAGCTTTAGGAAAATTATTTCTTACTAACGTATATACTCGGTGTTCACCACAGTCTTATAATGTTTTAAAATAGGAAATACTAAAATGAGAAATACATTGATTTACTCAAACAAGAGTGTGAAGCTGTTAGAAATGAAGATTTGCTGATGTGGTAGAATGTCCCAATAGATTGTTCTGGGCAAAAAGCAAGTTTAAAATAGTGTTATAAATACTAAAAAACAAAACAAAACCCACAGTATTTTAAATAGCATTCTAAATGTACATTTTGTTATTTCTATAAATATATATCTCTTCTCATAGAATCAGAAGAGGTAAACAATCAAGTTTCAGGAAAGCAGGACCCACTACTACTTTGAGAACTTCAGATATGGATTGTGGAATTCGAGAAACCCATAAAAAGGCTCAGCCCTTTGTATCTACCAATTAATGAAAGTTGGTTACATTCTCTTTCATTGTTGGTATTCTCTGCACATGACAGAGCAGTGGTGGCTGATGGTCCAATTTTGTCACCAAAAGGAACTGGAGAGAAGGCTTCTATTCCCACCCTCCAGTTAGAAAAATGCCAGGAAATGACTTTCTTTGGCACACCTTGAATGATATACAGTCTCCTTAACCAAATTAGTGAGGCCATGAGGAGTCAGGTACTGTTCATAATAGGCTCAGCTTGAGTCAGGTATATGCCTCTAAACCAATTGTGGGGACCAAGTAGGCCAGGCCACACACAATGACACCTCCCTTTCTAACTACATTCTAGAAGAGTAAAGGCAGATGCAGAATCCAGGCAGGAAGGATAGGCAGTTGTGTGTCAGAAGGAAGTTAAGTGTGCTGGGCAGATTAGAAAAAAAAAATCCCACATATACTTAAGTGAGAATCAGAGTCAGCTGGGAGAACATTTTAAAATTAAACAGTGAATCTTGCTTTCTTTTCCCACATGTGGTAAATTGAGATGAGAATATGTATTTTTGAGAAAGCTTCCTAGGAGTTTATTGTCTATTCTAACCCCTAGAGAATCTCTTTCCTTTAATATTACATAGAAAATAAACTAACATGGAGTTTCCCAAGCTTTCAGTTGACTGGGTGCTTTTGTGTTAAATTATCATGGTGTTAACATTTTTCGTTTTGCCCGCTAAACTTGATTTATCTGCAAATCTACAAACATTTGAATTATGTAAATAGGTATCTGTACGGGAAAAACACTTTTTGCTCATATGATCTTGAGAAGGAACTTAGATTCTGGCGCCTTCAAACGTGGCACCTTTTTAAAAAGTCCTTGGGGCTTTTGAGTCACCATATAAATGAGGTCTCTCAAGTTAGTATGCCAGGGAGATCAGGCATGTCTGATTTTAAAATAAAACGCTGCAAAGAAAGCTTCTGGGAGGAATGAGAGCATGCCCAAAATCACTACTCTGTAATTAGTCTTTGAGCAGAGTGGACAGAAATTTCGTCCCAAAGCCACCGTCTTTGCTCTGGTTCCGTTCTCTGTAAGCTTGTCACAGGAACCACACTTGTAGGCCATGCATCCCAGTTTAAAGCTTTCCTTGGGAAGTTTCCCTAGCTTTATTGCTTGTGGAAAGAGCAGATCTGGTTCCCAATTCGTTTAATACATCCTGTCCGAGAGCGTTTTATTACTGAATGTTACCCACGTTCTGATAACAAGGGGACGCTGTGTCCTGCACCGGTGAACTCACTCCGCGTTCCAGAAATATAGCGTGACTGCCCTCCCCGCCGGTGTTTTGAAAGTGGAAGCCGGGCGCCGCCCTCCAGCACCTGCGCCTCCAGCCCGGCAACGGCCGCGGGGAGCACGAAGTGCGTGCGACCGCAGCCCGGCAGGTCACGCAACCCCAAGCGGCCGCGCCGCCTGCGTGCCTGCAGCCCGCCGGCCCCGCCCCCGCCGCTCGCTTCCGCCGCTTTCCTGCACGCTCGGGCTTCCTGGTGCGCCCGAAGCCTGCCTCGCGTGCCGACCTCGCCGCGTAATCCGGCGAGGAATCCCAGATTCCGCCCAGCCCCCGATGCCCTCCACCGACGTTAGCCTGAGCAGGTGATGCCCTCATTTTAACGCCGAAAAGTGTCAGTCTCCGATATACAGCAAACACCTCACGCTGCGAAACGTGGGAGAAGGGGACAGCGGGTGGGGAGTCGACATGGCCCCTGGGCTCCTCTCGGCCTCCTTGGCGCCTGCTCTCTGCCCTCTGCGTCGGGCGACCCCGGCCGGGCTGCGAAAGCAGCAAGGTGGCCTTCGCACTGCCTGGATTTCGCAGGCAGGGGCGGGGGCGGCCCAGCCACGGCTAGGAGACCTGGGAAGAGGTCCCCAGCGAGTGACCGCGGAGCGGCCTCACCCCGCCTGCCTGGAGCCGGGAGCCCGGCATGCACTGATGCCCGGGGCGCGCGAGGGGCGACTTTCTTTGCCGGGCGGCTGACCCCAGCGACCCGGCGTTGCCTCCAGAGGTGCGCCCGCGGGCAGTGAGGGGCAGGGCTAGCTGAGGCTGAGAGGAGCGAGGGCTGGCGCTGTGTAGGTTAGATTCTTTGTTGACGTCTGGCAGCCGTTCTTTTGAAGAAAGAGAAAGGGGCCATTATTGCAAGTAGGGTGGGCCTCGAAGGATCAGGGGTGGGCGAGCCGGCTGTCAGAGCCCCTCTCACGCCACGCCGCGTGCAGGCGAGGGGAAGCGCGTGTCGTGACGACCGGCGATGAGATCAGTTTGAATAACCACAGCGTAAGGGCTGAGAAATGCAGCCAGTCACGCAGCCGCTGCCTCGGCCGGGCGCCGGCTCTGCCCGGGTGGCCACAGCCGTCCGGTGCACGGCTCCAGCAGAAGGAGCGGGGCGTGGATCAGCCCCTTCCAGACAGTCGCCGGTGGGGGTGTCAGAACTATTTCACGAGCGTGGGGAGCCGGAAGAGAAAGCAGTACAAAATGCAACCTGCATGGTTAGGAGGCTAAATTCTGTGAGCAAATTGGCTTTCGAGAAGCACACCGAAAATCACCTCTGTAAACGGTTGTCTCTTACACTTTGCCCAGTAGATAACTGTAAAAATCACTCTAACACGGAATTCAAAGGTCATTCAAATGTGCCTTCAATTTGTTTGTATAACTTCGTTTAACAGGCAGTACACACGGCCTACATATGCGTGCATGAAATTTAATTTATGCTGTCAAGTCTAGAAGCATGGTTTGGCAAGAGGAATAATTGTGAATTCAGTAAGAGTCAGGGTACAAACAGATTACTTAAAAGGACAAATGAACTGAGAAAAAAAATCAGCCCATGAGGAAACTATTACATTCATATTTTCATGGTCTTGAACATCTTGTACCAACTCAACGTTAAGACCCAGCGGAAACTTCTAATTAGACACAGAAAACACAAGTATTAGCCGTGCGGGCAAGCATCAAAAAAGCCTCACGTTAGAGACAGACAGACGAATAACATCTATAATGTAAGAGCATAGACCTTTTAAAATTCTATGTTGCAGTCATTTCCTTAGTATACATTTGGCTCAGTGATAGATATGTTACTATAAAGCAAATAAGATTAATCACCAGGTACAGAAAAAGCTTTGCTGTGAATTTAAAATTTTTATCCAATTTTTTTTTTTTCTTGAGGCAAGGTCTCCTTTGGTTGCTCAGGCTGGAGTGCTGTGGTGGCAGCCTTTGTTTCCCAGGCTCAAGCGATCCTGTCACCTCAGTCTTTCCAGTAGCTGGGACCACAGGTGCGCCACCACGCTGGGCTAATTTTTTTTTTTTTTTTGTAGTGATAAGGTCTCCCTATGTTGCCTGGGCTGGTCTCGAACTCCTGGGCTCAAGCAGTCCTCCCTCTTGGGATTCCCAAAGTGCTGGGATTTACAGGCATGAGTCATCATGTCCAGACCAGAATTTTTCTTTTTAAACGTGTTCATGTGTGTAATATGAGTTTAGTGCTAAATAAGGAGCTGATCCTTAGTGCCTAGAAAACTGCATCAAATTTATATTATGAATGATGAAAGGAATGAATTAATGTGTAGGCAGTACTCTAATGGTTAGAGCTGTGAACTACAGTGTCATGACTGAGTAGTGCCAGCCCTGCCACTGACTCATGTGTGATCCTGGTATGTTAAAAATAATGCTTACATCATACCTACCTTGCCAGAAGGTGGAGGGAGCTATTCCTTACTACAGGTGCTTCAGGATCCTTGGAGGAGGGTGATACTTTCAACTATTATAGAATAATACACCACTGTTATGACAACCTACATGTAAAATTACAAAAGTATAATTTAAATACGATACTGGCACCATTTTTTTTTTCATTTGTATATAGTCTATCAAGTACTAAAATACAGTACAGAAGGTTGCATCTTTATAAAATATTTGGCTTATAGAATCTTCATCGTCATTGGACCAGTATTTCATGATGTGCAATGGAAGTTTTAAATAATTAATGCTACTATACTTAACTAATAATATGCATATATAATTAATAATGATATAGTTATTAATAAGATGTATAATATAATAATATTAATATACCATTATATAGTTAAATACTATTACAGTAGTATTTGTGGTGATAGTATTTTCTGAGAGTGGAGACCTCTGGTGTATGAAGTGCCTAGGAGAAAACTAACTTTTGGTGACTTTTCTTAACTTGATGCATGGAATTTTGAAGATAAGGGACGTTTTTGGTGTAATTTTCTATTGCTGAGTGAATGAAAGTCCAGAGATTTAATCACAGTCCCACTGTATATCAGACTTTGGTCTAGGTGTTGGAGACAGAGCAGAGAATAGATCAAACTGATTACTTAATGTTTAAATGTTTTTGGTCTCTATTTAAATGCAGATTACTTTATAAATAGTAATGCACTGTGCACATCTTGTGTAAACCCTTTCCTGTTCTAAGCTCTTGGTAGAGGGTCCTTCAGAGGGTCAGAAAAGTAATGACAGAGGGGCTTTCTGGAAAGACAATTGAAGGCAGACAGTGGTAGGCAGTTTTAACTGGAATCAAAAGGCAGATATCAGTCCTTCATCAAGCTTTCCTGTTTAGAAAATGGCTATACAAAGGCATATAATACTTTACTTTCCATCATTCTCCTCATGAAAGTTGGCCTCATGTTTCTTAATTATCTCTGCCATCATATTAAGTCTATAGGTGTCATTTTTATCAGGGTCATAGGCACTTGTGCAGTTTGCTGACAGCATGGTGGTACCTGGTGGAGGAGGTTGGTAGGCATTAAACTCCAGACCTAGCTTCATGTGCTAACACAGATGTTTTGCATCCTCGTAAGTTAGGGGCATCTTGAATAAAAGCACAATGGGGCCACAGTAGCTCTCTTTGTTCTTTAGAGTTCTCAGGCATCTAAGTCCTATCTGCCCTTTGTCCTGTATTTTCCTGTTGTATTTAATAGCATTGCTCTGCTATGAGTTGCAAGATAGGGAACACTGGGGGATGAGGAGACGCCAAGGCTGAAGGAGAAGTGAACCACCCCATCAGCTTCCAAGATGTCTAATTAATAACTAGATAAATGAACTACCTAAGGCATGATGATGCTGTGTGAAATGTTTTGCAGCAAAAAAGAAAGCAAAGTAATGATAGACAGCAACCTGCCTTTTCAATTTTAACAGACAGGAAGAACTATCAGCTCACAACAAATTGCCTCAGTCTTGCATTACAACTGGAGAACATGATACAGTCAGACAGTGTGGCTCAACCTTTTGGCAAAGCTCATTTGTAGGATTTGATATCAGATGATTTGATATAAGATATATGTCCTGCTGAACCCTGGGGATGGCCTTGAGATTAAAGTGTTTTCCCTTCCCTGTTGCTAACTTCTCTGTGATCTGTTGACATTACATCATGTGGCAAACAATGAGTGGTAGAGACTGGAGACTGCCGTGTCAGGGTGTAGTGACCTGATTAGTCCAAGCTCCTTCAGGGGAGATGTGCAAATAGATGAGCCCCAACAGGACCTGAAGAACCATGTGGTTTTGAAATTCTGGGTGGATGGGCCACACCCTGCGTACACCTTAAATCTCCTGGCACTTTGAAGGTACAATTATTGCTCAACAACTCCAGGTTAATTAGATCTTTTTTTTTTTTTTTTGAGACAGTTTCACTCTTGTTACCCAGGCTGGAGTGCAATGGCGCGATCTCGGCTCACCGCAACCTCCGCCTCCTGGGTTCAGGCAATTCTCCTGCCTCAGCCTCCTGAGTAGCTGGGATTACAGGCATGCGCCACCATGCCCAGCTAATTTTTTGTATTTTTAGTAGAGACGGGGTTTCGCCATGGTGACCAGGATGGTCTCGATCTCTCGACCTCGTGATCCACCAGCCTCGGCCTCCCAAAGTGCTGGGATTACAGGCTTGAGCCACCGCACCCGGCCAATTAGATCTTTATATGATGTGATTATCATAAATGTAACATTAAATGTAACTTTTAAAAATGTACAAATCTGTGCATAATATAAATGTATAAAACAAACTTGCAATTAATGTCTTATAAGGGCGTAAAATGATCGAGATGGATGAACACCTTTAAATATGCAATTTATTCCTAGCAATAGTTAAGCAGTTCGTTTTGTAGCTTAACACATAGGCCTAAAGAAAATGAAACATATGAAGTTTCATTTTCATATGAACTCTGCATTATGCAGCGTGTCATTTCACTTAAGATTTCGATGGGATTTTAAAATTATTGAATGATTATTATTTACAAAAGGCTTTTGAGAGTGTTGCTTTTACTTTTATGTGGTTTCAAGGTGGGGAGACAGATTAAAGATGTTAAGTAAAATATTCCATAAATGTGATATCTACCAAAAGTAAGAGAATTAACCCATTTGTGGAAACTTACTCATAGAAGACACTTAGTAAACATAATTTATTACTCTAAACTAATTAATATAATTCCCCACCTTGAAACAATAAATGTAGCATGCAATATATTGTTCCCTGTTTGAGGACAGATACTGTTGCTTGTTGATACTTGCATTGCTCGTGCTACCCAATAAGTGATGATGGTTGAATGAATCAATTAATGAATGAGTATAAGAGAAAATCCATAACCTCCCATTC